ATTATAAACATTGATTAAAGTTGCACTATATAATCAAATAAATTGGTTAAATTATTATTTTTTATTGTTAAATTTGCCACATAAATTATTTTATTATGCCATATATTTAGTTTGTCAAGCCATTTACACGTTTCACTAAAAAAGAACCCATCCAGAGGACCTACTTATTTTTCTTTTTGAAGCCATTTATATATTTCTACATTTATTTCCAGTTATGACAGGATCAGTCCTCCATACAACATAGCATCATTGCATTAAAATCCTATGAAACAGTAGGCCATAGAATGATATGCTGTATGTACTGTGTAATATGTGTCACAGAGCTTCATTCTGATTTAAAGACAGCTGGAGAATAATTTTATATCACATTTGCACTTAATTTTAACTTTATCTTGATTTTAACATATTTTCGTTATGTATCTTATCTTTATAACTGTTTTTCAACGAAAAAAAAAGCGACCGAATGCTTTTTGGCCTCTTTCGCGTTCCGTCGCTCCTCCGGTCAGTTTCAAAGTTCAGTGTTGGTTCGCTGTGAACCGTGCAGCCACAGATTTATAAAGTGCAGCAGCATGTTTCACAGCCACAGCTGAGATTTTAAGCAGCGGTGAATTCAGAGGTGAGCTGGAAACATCTTCACGACTCTTTAAAGCTTCCTGGTGTTACAGTGCGCTGAGCTCAGAGTTAGCTCCCGCCTCTTCAGCCTCCTGAAGCCTTTCACCTGACGGGCTACAGGTCCAAGCCCCGCCTCCTCATGGAACACTTTTATGTCGGGGTGGACGTGGGCACCGCAAGTGTCCGGGCCGCCCTGGTGACCAGAGGAGGTCAGCTGAGGACCACCGCACAGGAGCCCATCAGTATCTGGGAGCCCCGGTCCGAACACTTCGTCCAGTCCTCCGCAGAGATCTGGCAGAAGTGCTGCTCAGTCATAAAGGTAGGAGGAGCTCGGACCAGTCCAAGACCAGGTCTGAAAACGGATCCTGCAGCCCAGTCACATCAACTCGGTTCTGATCCAGATCTGCAGGGCCGCTTCTGACAGCTGCAGAACTGTTTGTGTTTCAGGTCCTGCGGGTCCAGATCCTGCTGACAGAAGAGTTTTCTTAATGTGCAGCTAATAAAAGCTCTATTTATTATGTCAGCATTAAAACAACTTATTTTATTTTTATTATTTCAAACTAATATTGTAATTATTTTAGATATTTAGCAACATTAGCTTTATTTTATTAAATTAGGTGGTTTATTAGCTTTAAATTCTTTATTATTTAGTTTATTTAAAAACATTTTTTAGTGTCTTAATTTAAATTTTTATACAGTTTCACACTTTTAGAGCTAATGCTGTAAAAGTGTTTGAACCATCTTCAGCTAAGTTGTTATTTTGCTTATTTTAACACAAATTTGTGAATTTTAGGGAAATATTTTATCTTGTTTTTTTTTTTTCAGTTATGATCCCCATAATGTTTCTATGTAAAATCCTGCTTCTTGAGTTAGAATATAGCAGATTAAGATTAGTTTCTACCTAATTTAAACCACTAACAGTCCAAGAGACACAAACACTGCAGATAGAGTCAGTGAAAGCTGAGAGTAAATGTGTTTTTGTTGCAGAGAGTGACTCATGGCGTGAAGAGGAACCAGGTTCGGGGGATCGGGTTCGATGCCACCTGTTCTCTTGTGGTTCTGGACAAGAACTTCCAGCCGGTGTCGGTCACTCAGGATGGTGAGTGTTGTTGTTTCACATGACCAAATCTGTATTTATATGTCCTCCTGTCTTCTAAAAGGGGCTTCTGTAACAGAGTTATGAACAATCATTATCTTACTTGTTGTAGATAGCTCGTTAAATGGCCTCTGTTTGGGAAAACTAGTTTAATTTTGACTGGACTGACTGGTTTGAGAAAAAATTCTGTCAGTTCGTGGAAACACTGTTTTAGAAACTTTTACATTGTCGTTATTTGTACCTTACACAGTTATTTACATCAATTTTATAGATATGTTCAAGCTCAAAGAGAAGTCCTGATGCATCTCAGTAATCCAGGTAAAAAATCAAAAAGAAAAAAAAATTGTATAGGTCTTCTGGACGGGTTTTTCTCTTATGAAACGTTTCGTCTCTCCTCCAAGAGACTTCTTCAGTCTGAGAGTTTCAGGCAAAATTCAGGCTTTTAAGACCTGCCTCCATGTGACTGATACTCACATCACATGGCTATTGTTGACACCTAATTAACACCTATTGTTAACAGGGGTGGAGTGATACTGCCAATAGC